AGCAGTGTGCAGATATAAGTCAGTGAGTCTTAGTAAGCCAGTAGCAGACCCGTGAGATTCAGGCAGATTTCTGGCTGGGAGTCCCAAGTTGAGCTCCCTGTCCTCCTGCAGGGTTGAACTCTGCAAGTTTCTACTGCAGGTTCCAGCAGCCCTTCCCCTGAAGATAGTCCAAGTTCCAATGGGAGGTGATGATCCCTTCAACTTACCAAGTATGATGATGGCCTGGTGTGCCTTTATTGCAGAGATTGTCTTCATTTTTCTGGTGGGCTTCAATTTTCATTGAGTAGCCTGAGAGTGGTCCTCTTTCTCTTGTTCACTTGTGGTCTCTCTTCTGGAGCTCAGGACTATGGCTTTTATGACCCCCTGTGCCTCTGTAGTGTGGAACAAGGCACTGGCATAGCCAGGACGCCAAGGGTGGGGTGGGGTGGGGGTGGGGGCTGCAGTCCCCTGTGCGACTAAGGTGGTCACTGGGGGGGTGGGGCTTGGGCAGGAGGGAGCCCTGCTCCATGCTGCTGAGGTCCTCACCATCAGCTCCCATCAGTTCTAATATTCAGTATTTAAAATATTTTAGTGGAAGTAACATACAATCAACCATTAACACCTCAACTTTAGAGTATTAGAATACAGAAAACATCCTCAGTTTATTCCTTAAACTCAGTCCATCTTATATTCCATCCCTGAATCTTACCCTAAATTTCACTTCATTCTCAAGTTTTATGGATCAGTTTCGATAAGGAATAAAAATAGGAATACATAATATATTGGTACTTAGAGATCATTGTCAGTGACAGACCAGAGATGGAATAAAGGCCAGTTTTTTCTGAGCCTATAACTCAAAAATAAAATGTCTATGTTGAAATTTCTGCTTCTTGGTTGACAGATAGATGGCACTGTCGAATCTGACTTGGAGGCTTCAAATAAAGCCTTTCAGCCCAGATAGTATGTACTTTAGGAAGTATTAGCTGAAAGAATGGATGAGTTGACAAAAGTTGAAAAATCAAGGAAAGATACAGTGTGAAGACTTTTGTTTCATCATGCTACTTTGAAGTAGCAGCAGATAATCCAAATAGAGATATTGTGTAGAATCATGTGTGAGATTGGATAGGAGAAAGTCAGGGCTAGATTATTACCTGGGTTTTTCAGATAGAGTTAAAAAGACAAGTTAGTGAAGGTATAAGTATTCTGAGATAAAAGCTATAAAGGAAAAAGAGAAAATTGAGTCATGGGTATATCCATCAATTAGTTGTCATTTAGATAATCTTTAGCTAATGAGAAGACTATTTGGCTAAAAATTACAGCAGTCTTAATATTATGAATACTCTGTCTACAGGATAAGAGATTTTTAGAACCTAAATTTAACAGTTTTTATTCTCTGAAATGATTTTTGCCTTCATAAAATCATAAATCTTTTTCTTAAGAAGTTTTCCAAATGACATCCAAAAAAGGGTGTAATTCTTATTTTGGATATACATGCATTTGCTTCTCTAGAATGTTTTATAAAATTTTTTTTTCCTGTTGTACACTCAAATTCTGAAAGTTTATTTCTGGGTACAGGTTAACATTTAGTGTCCAGTTTTCATCCTAAGCTTATAAATAAATAACATACTTGAACATTTTAGGTAAAATCCATGGGCACGTGACAAGAAATGAGAACTGTGATGATAGGTTTTGTTATGAAAGCAAGTTAATCCTAGCTTTAGCAGTTGAAATCTAAAACCCACAGGAAAAATATTTTTTTTCTTAAATGTACTGGTTTACTAATAATTCAAAATTTTTTTCACAGAGAGAATCATTACTAAAACAGGAAATAAATGACCTTGTAAAATGGAAGATTGAAGTAGATGAAGAAAATGCTTTCTTGAGAAAAGAATTCAGTAACTTGGAAAAGAAATTTGAAGAAAAAAGTCAAGTTAAGGTGTGTTGACTTGTACATAATTTTATAGGACTGTTGCTTTGAAGTTCTGCTTTAAGCTTTGTCAGTCTTTGTGGCACAGAAAGTGACAGGCTTGGAGGAAATACTGCCTTAGGCCCTGCTGTACCATACAGTGTTCTCACAAGTAAAAACTCTGATAAAGATGCTTTAAAGCTAAGACTCCAAGCTTTATAACTTTCAGATTAATAGTTAATGATGGAAATGGAGCTAAGAAAGTAGGAGTGTGAATGTGTGGCTTCTTTTAATTAGATTCTGATGGGACTGGCATTATTAATTGATAAAACCCAGGTCTGGGAGGATATGTCTGTGTGGGTCTCAAAAATAGCTGGGGACAGCATCAAAGGCAGCTTTATCAATTAATGGGCTCTTCGTAAATGTGTACTCATCAAAGCTGTCATCCTGTGAAAAAATATGACCTATCCACCTGCATGGAAAGAGGCCAATAAAAGTACACAGGTGACCTTGGCCATCAAATACAGAGCAAGCTGCTGTGTGGGTAAAACTGCACAGTTTATATTTGCTGATTAGTTCTCACCTTTTTTTCTTTTTGTTTATCGGCCCTCGTGGTACTGTTCTACAGGACACTAAGGAGTGTGTACAGAATAAAGAAGAGCAGAACAGACTGCTTATAAAAAATCTGGAGGAGGAAAATGAGAAATTGAGTATCCGCTGTGCTGACCTGCTAAATGACCTGGAGAAACTGAGGAAGGAGGAAACACATTGGAGAAAAGAAAAATCCATTACTGATGCAAAAATAAAGGTATACATCGAGAATGGAATTCACACTGTAATTTTGCATCTGACTTCTTATAGGTAGAGTAATACATGTTATTTTTTGAAATAGCAAGTTATATATTCAAATCCACCAGTGGGGACTAGCATTAATTTATAATCTTTCACTTAAGACCCACAGCTTTTTAAAAATTGATGTTGCAAAGCAGGAAACTGACTTCAAATAGTTATACTAAAATGTAATCATTAAAAAATAAAGCCCATTGCAATTTGAGATAAAATGTGTTTTGAAAAAACGTATTTAGAATCATGGGCTTTGACATTTTAAAATTAAGGCTTCAATTTATAAATATATGTAGAATTTGTTGCAGTTTATTTTTAAAGACTATTTTCTAGGGTTGTTAAAATGTAAAAAGAAAATCTATAAAACAGTTAAAAATACTCATGTTTCTGAGGTAGTAATTTCTTTGGCTTAAAAATTTCCAGTAGAATTTTAATAGAAGATAACAGTTACAATCAATCTATCATATTTCTACATCCTTTTTGATCAGTATTTTTCAAAATAATATTTTTGGTGACATTCTCTTTGTCTTGATTTTTTACTTATTTTCCCATCAAATTTCAAGGTTTTCTTTTGCCATGCACATTCACAATAAAAATAAATATAATATAGATAAATATATGTAAATGCACATATGCCACAATAACATGGATATGTCACATAAATACATGTGAGTGCCTGTGTGCCTGAATATTTAAGTTAGGGAGAACTGAATGTGTGTGAGAACTAGTCCATCGCAGATATGCAAGAGAATGTATTAGGTATTAGTGCACAGAGAGTGACTGAGCATTGAGGAAATTGAATCCTGGTGCATTTATTTTTTAAATTTTTATGTTTCTGCTTTTCTGTTTTGTTTTTTGGTACTGGGGCTCGAACTCAGGACCTTGCGCTTGCGAAGCAGGCGTGGAGCCACTGAGCTAAATCTTGGCCCTGTTTCTGCTTTTCTACAACCTTCAAAAAATTGGTAGTGTGGTAAGAGCAAGTAGTACTCCCTTGTGTTGATTTACAGCTTCATGTTTATTTGGTGATAATTTTCACTTCTTTATGCAGTTCAAATAATCAATTCTGTAATTTCCTGGAACTTCTAGTTCTGAGGTTTTTGTTTTTGTTTTTTTTTGGGTACTGGGGATTGAACTTGGGTCCTTGTGCTTGCGCAGCAGACAGCGAAACCACTGAGCTAAATCCCCCAGCCCTGTTCTGAGGCTTTTAAAAAAATCTTTTGTACCTTAGATAAAGTGAAGTGGATTTTCAAAGTTTTGTGAATTGATGGTCACTTTTATTATTTTCTTCTCTAATGCTTTTGCTTTAGGATTTTTTTGTGATGAAGTTTTTCCCATCCTAAAGTCTGTAATCTGTTTAGAATTCATTTTTGGTTATGATGTTTTACATCATTTACTTTTTAGTAAGTGATGCAGTCTCTCTTACATCTGGAAGTTTCTTGTGTGTATGTGTTTCTGGACTTTATATTATTTTCATGGTTTTTGGTATTGTAATTTTGTAATTCAAATAAATATTTCATAGCAAAGTCTAATTCATTATTCTTTTCCTTGTAAGTCATTAGCCCAATGTGTATTTCTTTGCTAGATTTTAATATTAAGAATCATTTTACTAATTTTAATGGGAAATGTTAGAAAGCAGATTGGAACCACACTTAATTTATAAATTAATTTTGAGACAATTATGATCTTTCTTTGAAATGTGGAATAAGATTTTATAAATTCTGATAAATGGTACTGCTCAGTTTTATTAGATTTATTTTTAGCTACTGATATTATTGTAAATAACATTGTATTGTAGTACAAAATATGTTTTCTGTTATATTTTATATGTTTTCCATTATATTTTAAATTGAGAATTTCTAGAATATAGGAATATTATGGATTTCTTTTATTGGGAGCTTCTATTGAATAATTTTCCCCAGTGGTCTTATTCTAATATTTTATGTAGCCTTGTAGATTTTTCTAAGTTATATAATTACATTGTCAATAAGAAAGCTGTGGCTCTTTGTTTTCTTTTAAAAAGCATTATTAGAATAACTCATGTACTATATGTTTCATCAATTTAAAGAGAAGTCATTGGTTTTTACTTTCTGCACAAAGCTAAAAGGTCATCACACAGTCGACTTCACAACATTTTCAGCACCCCCACAAAAGAAATCCTGTATCCTTTAGCGGTCATTCCACATTTTTCCCTAACTGCCAGCCCTAGATAACCACTAATCTATTTTTTTCTATATATTTGTCTATTCTGTAAACATTTGTGATAAATGAAATCATAGTATTTGGGTTTTTGTGACCAGCATTTATCTTCCATGAGGTTTGTCCATATTCTAATAGGTAGCAATACTTTATTCCTCTTTAGTATTGAATAATATTCTGTTGTATAGCTATTCTACTAATATATAGGTATTTATCACTAGTGTATGGATATTTGAGTTATTGCCACTTTTTGGCCATTATGAATAATGCTGTGGTGAATATGTACAGAATTTTGTGTATATGTTGGGGTTCAGAAAATGATAGTGCATAATATGGCACCTCAGCATGCTGAGTATTTTAAGTTGAAGGAAATTGAGAAAGCTACAGAAGCAGGAACATCACTTACTGAGCTCTTGCCTTTTCCCTGAAAGTAGGTGATGTGACCCCCCTCATTCTAGAGAATGCTGCCTTGTACCCAGAGGTCATGAAGGGTCTGAATAAATAAGCCTTGCTGAGTTCTTTCAGCTTATTACCAAGAGATTCTGTTGCTTTGTCTTCCAATTATACTTCTACAAAACTGTTTATAAAAATGCATTTTCCCCTGGATCTTTAAGCTTTTGTTTCTGAAATCTCCTGTATCATATAAAATGTGGCTAAATAAAATTTTTTGCTTTTCTTTTGTTAATCTATATTATATTACAGGGGTGTCAGCCATGAACTTTTTCGTAGGTAAGGAAAAGATATTACTTTTTAACCTATATATAAACATATGTTTTTATTTCTCTTAGGTATAGACCAAGGGGTGAATTTTTTCATTCATGTGGCAATTCTGTTTTTAAGTTTTTAAGCAAACTACTAGAATGTTTTCCAAAACAGTGACAGTTTTATGTTCCAAATAGCATATATAAAGGCTTTCCTTTCTTTATGTTCTTGGCAACCTTACCTCTTTGATTGTACCCATTCTCATGAGTGTGAAGTTTATCTCATTCTGGTTTTAATTTTCCTGATGGCTAATGATGTTAAGCACCTTTTCATATACTACTTTCCATTTGTATATCTTTGGAAAACACCTGTTTGAGTCCTGTGAATATAAGTACTTAAATGTGTATGTAATTTGAAACTACTTTCTTCAATTCTTTGGATTTTTTTTTACAGTTTTACTTGCCCGATATGTTTTTTTAAACAGGGCCTTTCTGTGTTGTCCAGTCTGGTCTTGAACTCCTGGGTTCAAGTTATCTCTGTGTCTCTCACCCTCTCAAGTTGCCAGGACTACAAGCATACACCATCATGCCCAGCTTATTGGTGCTCTTTAAAACACAAAAGTTTTCATTTTAATAACATTTAATTTATCTGTGTTTTTGTTGTTCTGTTACTCAAGTTTTTGGCGGTATATCTAATAACAATTTGACTTAACTTTTTAATGTAGTGTGAAATGTGAGTCCAACTTCATTTCTTTTGTGTATGTTAATTCAGTTGTCCCAGCTCCGTTATTGAATATCATTTGACTGTGATTGTAATAGTTTATTCCTGGACCTCCATTTTGTTCCTTTGATGTATACAGCTACCTTCATGTCTTTACCACACTGTCTTGGATTACTGTACATTTGTAGAAGGTTTTGACCTCGAAATGTGTGTGTCTCCAAATTCATTTTTTCTTTTTCAAGGTTGGCTATGCTGGGTTTCTTTTATTTCCATATGAATTTTAGAATCAGGGTTGCCATTTCTACAAAAATTCAGCTGGGATTTTGACACTTTGAAAGAAGGTCAGTTTGAGGGAGGAGAATTACCAATTTAATGATTTTAGGTCTTCTGATCTATCAACATATGATATCTTTCATTTAATTCTTTTTAAGTATGGGTCAACAATGTTTGGAGCATTCATAGTATAAGTTTGCAGTTATTTGAGTAATTGTATTCCTATGTATTTTATTCTTTTTAAAGATGTTTTAAGTGGAATTCTTTCTTAATTTCCTTTTCAGATCTTTCATTTTTAGTGTATAGATATTAATGTTTGTATATTGAGCTTATGTACTATAATCTTTCTGACCAACTTTACTAATTTTTTTTTTTTTTTTTTTGGTACCAAGGATCAAACTTGGGTCTTTGTGCTTGTGTAGCAGGCAGCAAAACCACTGAGCTAAATCCCCGGCCCCCAACTTTACTAATTTTAATAGGTTTCTGGTAGATTTATCAGGAGCTTCTACATATGATACAATATGCAAATAGAGTAGTTTTATTTCTTCCTTTTTAGACTGGATGCTTTTTGTTTGATTTTATTTCATATTGCCCTGGCCAGAGCTTCTTGTACACTGTTGGATAAGGGAGAGTGCACATCCATGTCTTGTTCTTGATCTCAAGTGGAAAGCATTCACCTTTTTACCCTTAAGTATGACATTAGCTCCGCTTTTTAAAAAATGTTACTTTGTTGGATTCAAGAAATTCTCTTTTATTCTTAGCTTGAGTATTTTTAATCATGAAGTGGGGTTGAATTTTAGTAAATGCTTTTTCCCAGTTCTATTGAGATGATTATGTAGTTTTGGTCTTTTTTTGTTGGTGTAGTGTAGTGCTGGCAAAACTTTTTGAGCTTTCAATGATACAAACAGACTGCTGTTGCACACATACCATAGGTTCTCCACCATTACTATAGTGCATTACATGAATTGATTTTTGGATGTTAAACCAACCTTATATTATTGAGATGTTTTTTGTCTTTGTCTGGTTTTAGTATCATGGTAATTAATGTTGGTTGTAGAGAATGAGTTAGGAAGT